TTTTAATTTAATCAAAAAAAAAAAAAAGAAAAAAAAAAGAAAAAAAAAGAAAGAAATGATGTTTTTCCAATTGAAAAAAGTTGGTGGGCTCCAATTTGTCCAAGGTCTCAAAGAGTCGCGACATCTGACAGCTCTTGTGTTGTGGTAAAATTCATTAACTGGCTTGAAAAGGCCAAAAAAAAAAAAAAAACCAAACCAAAAATAAACCAAGCTGCTGCCATCTTTTCCACTATGTCTGAAATTCCTGTCGTTCTCCATAGAGAGCTCATAACACTTGGTTACCTGCACATAACTCCTGGCTCATAAGAAATTATGAAACTTAACTTCTCTTTTCATTAAAAAAATAAAATATTCAAGACTATCAGCTTTTATATAAAATATCAGCAAGCCCCCAAAAAAAAAAAAAAAATCAATTGCTGAGGTAACTTCATACCTTGAGGTAGCTTTTTTTTTTTCTTTTCTCTTCTTTTTTTTTTTTTTTTTTTCTTTTTCGTGGTTTTTTTTTTCTCTCTCATTGCTCAAACACACAGCAATACCTGGCCTTCCCCCACATCGCCCTGTTGTTGCAATGGTTTAAAGGACAGTAACTGCTGCCGTGTTCCCTTATCAATAAACCACCCGCCTTCCTGATGCTGCATGAGCTGAATTTCAAGCCGGGCTTGGCTTTGGGAGGAAGCTCGAGCAGGAGGGCTGGCCTCCAGAAAAAGAAACGAGTCAAAGCATCAGTGCGAGGTTTGCTCCAAATTCCCTCCTTTTAGCCCCAAATTGGTTCACCCAGGAGTTGCTCCTGAGTTTCCTCCCATCCGGCGGGTGCGGGATCCGGCATCATCCCTCTCCCCCAAAATTATTCCCAATTTTGCTTTTCCACCCTCCCACCCCAATTTGCAGGAAAATCAGCGTGAAGCCACATTTCTGCTGGATTTGCAGCAGAAATCGCGGCGCGGGCGCTCAGTCGGGAGCTGCCCCAGCCCCGCCGTGGAGACAAGACCTTCCCCTGCCTGGAAGAGGTGATGGCAGCAGTTACTGTCCCTTCCAAATACTCAATATTAAAAAACAAATCATTAAAATATATCTAAAATATAAAATCCACATAAGAGTGACGGGAATCAGTAACCATATTACATTCGTTTGACGCATATATTTGGTATCGTCTCATGAGAACAGTTATTCTTACTGCAGAAAGGAAGGTGGTGGTTGGTGGTGTGGTGGTTTTTTTTTTTTAAATAATGAAAAAAAAAAATCTTTATAAACTAAAAAAAAAAAAATAATGTGCCAAATTTCAAGAATTTTTTTTTCCCCACCTAGAGAGATTTGGAGGAGGGGGGGATAAGACACAAATAGCCCCAGGGGAGTTCGTGTGAGCTGGCACCTCCCCAGTTTGCTAATAGAAATATTCCCTGGGTGTTTTCTGACAAAAAAAACCAACCTGCATTTCCCCACGGATGAACCCCTGGAGGCTCCGATGGGATTTTGGGGCACAAACCTCCCATTCCAGGTGGGGAAGCTGAGGCTGAGGGCAGCTGGCAGAGGACGTGGCAAAGGAGTCGGGCACAAAACCGGCCCCAGCTCAGTGGCAAAGCCGAGTCCCCAGCGCTGGGCATCTCTCCGCTGCACCCCTCAGCCCCTCCGGCTCCCTCCCGACCCCCCAAACCATTCTGCATGCATTGAGTTCCCATAATCTGATTATTAAAGAGATGAAGATTAATTCAATGTTTCCTACCAAGCAGGGGTTTCTTTGCCTTTTTTTTTTTCTCTTTTTTTTTTTTCTTTTTTTTTTTTTTGGTGGTGGTTTATTGCTGTTGCTCGAAGGGAAAAGGGAAAAGCAAAAGCCCTTCCCCCTTCCCTTCCCTGGACAGTTTGCCTCGTCTCTAGGACGGGTTGTCACCTCCGCAGCGGAGATCACTGAGAAAAATGGTCGCATGTCCCACTTCTGCCATTATTTCATAGGCTTCAAAAACAACAACAACAACAAAAAATTAAAAAAAAAAAAATTCTTTAAACTAACCTAAAAATGAAGAGAAACATTCAAACAACTGAAAGGAAAAAGAAAAAAAAAAAAATCATCCTGGAAAATAGAGGTGCTCTCCTGGCTTCTAAGGCTTCACAAGGCACTGCACTGCAGGCAGCACAGGCAGGAGGAATCCTGCCCTCCTGCCCGCCCGCCGGTGGTTCTGAGGCTGGAGCGGTGCAGAGCTCCCAAGGGACCCAAATCCATTTGGCGCTAAGGTGGGGGCTTCAGCTTTTTCTTCTTTTTTTCTCTTTTTTCTTTTTTTTTCCCCCCCCACAATGGATCTCGTTACCAACAGGGGTTGGTAAGAATCCACTGCAATTTCTCTTAAAAAAAAAACTAAAATAGGAAAGAAAAAAAAAAAAAAAATCAAAATCGAACGCTCCAAAAGGCTTAACGTCGCTCTGGGAATACCCACCAGCCGCAGGGAGGGAGGGAGCGAGGGGGCGGGGAGACGCAGACGCCCGGCACACGCGGCTGCGCCGA